CACACATACATCCATTTTTTCTAAGGTATGCCAAAATGTTCAGAAACCTCTGAAATATAAAGATATATAAAAATTTTCATTTTCGATTTTTTTGCGATTACTATAACTTGCCCTACGGGAAGTTAATAATAGCAAGCGATGCTAGATGGACGATGGGGAAATTTATTTCTTGAAAATGGGAATGTAATTATTTATATACTTAGGTATTTATGTATATTTGTTTATACGTATTTAAATAGAGTATTTGAGGTGTTTATATTCCATATATCAGCAATAAGTATAATCATCAACAAATTAATAAAAAAAAAATTTTGAAATATAGTTTCTTAACATAGCCTCAAAATTTGTAATAAACATGTAAATAGTTATATATTAATTGTTGTTAATTCATAATTTCTTTATACATATCTTATAAAATGTTTCAGGTGCTTACAACAAATTGGCATATATATTATCAGCAAATGTGCTTTGATTGGACAATAAAAGGCTGAAATTACTTGGCTACCTTATGTTAAATATAGTGATAGAGTATTAGTTCTTCGTTTTCATATATTATAACCCAGCTATAAACCTTACGGAGCCCCAGACCTTTCCAACGAATGCAAAATCGTCGAATTCGGTTTGTGCATTCTGGAGTTATATCGCCAGAAAGAAAAACCCAACTTATTTTTATATATAATATATACATATATATATATATATATATATATATATATATATATATATATATATATACAGTCGGTCAAGTAAGAGCGTGGCCGACTTTAACGACAGTTAATGAAAGATTTCGGTCTAGTTCTTTCGTGAGCCGATAAAGTGATGCATTGTCCTTGATGCATTGTCAAAAAAGGTTTAGTTGCAGTTAATCTTTTGAGAAAAAATTACGTTAAACGCCATGAGTGCTAAGTTACGGGTCGCGCTACGAGGCTTTGCCCTTTTGCATGCACCTAAAAGGTACCCAAATGTAGCAATCAGCTGCTGCTAAACATACGAGAAAGTTGAAGGCATTTGTACAGAATTCGATACACCTATATAAAGTTGCTAAAAAAGTCGATGATTTATCAGAACGTGGTTCAAATAAAAAAAAAGAAAAAAAACAGTGAATGGGTATTTGCGGAATCCTGCTTTAACACTGCAGCAAGGACGAGCAAAATTAATGGCAAAATGTTTAGAAATATCTACAAAAATATCTACAAAACTATCTGAACCTTTCTTCGTATTCATGATCTGAAATGGCGCAACACAACGGGGAAGCCTCTGACGACTGAAAAACATGTGCTTCTTTTCCGCTTGAGCACATGAAAATATTGTTAGAGATTTTGAAAATGTCATTTTCACTGATGAAAGTTCTATATGAGCACGTACTGCCCTCATCGAGCCGTTAAATTAAAATACGAGCCGTTAGACTAAAATAATCCGTTAAATTAGTAAAAAGCAGGCGTCGGAGATGCCAGGCAATTGTCGACTCCGGTGGTGACTGGACACATATTGACCAAAATTGCATCCTTGCTTTTAACGTATACAATGCATATATAAACATTAAAGTTACATAAAATAATTATTTTTATAAATTAACCCGGCCACGCTCTTACTTGACCGACTGTACATATATATATAAGTCGTATTAATTACTTCACTTATAACTCAAGAAGGCTGAACCGATTTAACTGAAAATTGGCTTTGGTAAAGTTGGTAAAAGTTGGTAGTTCAGAGCCAGGAGAAGGACATAGGATACTTTTTTTCCCGTTCAACTTGGAATATCAAAACGCAAATGACAGCTATGTAATCACGTATGGATGACAATTTGATATTTGTAGGGTATCAATAATAAAATTATTTATTTTAAATAAATAATTAACAATTATAATATTATGATAGTCCCATTGCCCATTCGTATAAACAGTGAAGCAAACTATAAAACTCAGTATGGTTGACAAATCATATTTTTCTCAAACCACGATGCTCTGAAAGAACTCATTTGTATAATTATATACTCATTGGTATTTATAAAACATTTTCTAGATTATATTATTTATTTATTTTTGTTATTTAAATTCGGAACCTAAATTTTGAATCGGTCAAAGGTACATTTTGTCGAATAACTTATTGCCAGTTATAATGTCCCGAATTTATCGAAGAATGGATAGTAATATATAAAGATCCACGACCGAAGTGTCAAAAACCAGTAAATCTAAGCATTGTTTAACAACACTTTTTGAAAGTAAAGGGAAAAAGATGTATAACCAGCTATAACCTTGATTCTTATGACTTTGGTATTGGGAGATAAATGGTAATCTTTAAAAATCCATAATAAAAGTATTTTCTTCCGTTGGTAGTTTTTTAGCAATTAGTTAAAAATGTAATTAATTTGTAAAATACCTTTGAAATTAAAATATGACATTAGACCTGTTTGCCATCTGGCCATTCCAAGTTACCCCCTTATAGGGTAAAAATCTAGATAAAAATTTTTTGAAAGACAGCAAAAAAAACAAAATTATGAAGTAGCTGGTAGTTTTACTGAACGTAGTCAGATAATTGTTCGTTTGAAATGTGTCATTTGTTGTGATATAATTGGTTTGATTTTCATAATAAAATTTATATTTGCTTAAAGTCAAATTGGACCTTTGTGCCTTGCCCTGTTCTACATATATACTTTTTATTAAATTTTCCAGAATCCAAAAAAAAATTTTGAAAAATTTGAAACGCAATCAATAATCGATTAAATGGAATTTGTAATGACTATATAAGTCGAAAGACCAAAAAAAAACTTGGAATGGATTATGCCATGTTTTCTATAGAAAGTGTATAAAACTTTCAGTTTGGTTGTATTAATAAAATATAGACAAACTAATGGGGTTTATTGTTTCTATAATACCTCATTGTATAATATATTAGTATATTATAGCATTCAAACAACACATCCTTACACAAAGTTTTTTTTTTTTTGATTCTCTAGAAATTGTTTATAAAATACCTTACTTAGCAAAACGTTTGCCGGGTCAGCTAGTAATTATATTATATATATATATATATATATATATATATATATGATTAATGGGCCAATTCTGCCATAAAATAGACCAATGTTATAGCAACGCTATGTTATGTTGCTCTTTTCATATAAAATGGCTCTAAAAAGTGTTAAAATGCCAAGGATTTGCTGTAGTCAGGCTAGAAAACTATAAAATCTATATTATCTAAAACTATAAATCTATATAACTATAAAATCTAATTTCTCGCATATGTTATTATAACATTTCATAAAAATACACTTATAAGATTCTTCTTTGGCGTTCGTTTTCTAGGTTATTTTTATATCTTAACTTTTATTACTACTGCTAGCACATTGCAGAAATAAGAAAATCATTTGTTTCTTTGTTTTTATCTATGATAAATATTTCTGTGATATAAAATCTTATAGAAATACGAGTAAACCCGATATCACACGGTAGCTCAAAATAACGCGGTACTTTTAATGAGCATTATACGGGGATTACCTGTATATTAATAAAACATTATTAATATAATAGATTAGATATATAATTGGTTATTAAATTAATAACATTTAAAGTGTCTCGAATGAAATGTTACCGATGCACCTATTATGTTATTATTATTATTATTATTATATTATTATTATTATTATATTATTATTATTATTATTATCTTATTATTTCTGATATTGTTATTTTGTTATATTTGTTATTATCTTTCACTTATTGTTTTTATTCTACTTTATTGTTTTTCTAGTATTATTTTTATTATTCAAAAATTTTACTTATTTTACTCATTAATTTTATAATTATTATTATTTGCTTTTATTTTATATTAAATCAACATACTACGGATATCATTTTATTGAAAATTCTATCCTTTATTTTGTGCTCTTTTTATTAAATTTATATAATTGTTCATTACTGTTACTAGATGTTAATTATTTAGCGGTTGTAACACATATAGTAACTAAAAAAAATAAAAAAAAACTTTCTCCTACCGTATATAATACCGTAGCTTTCTACTATTATGATAAGTTATGAAAATCACAATCAATATCAACATCAGTAAATATTAGAGCTACGTATGAATTTAAACCGTTTTTCTGTTAGTTTTTCAAAGAGCAAGGACTCCACATAAATATATACCCGCAACCACAGAGAAGACTTAAAAGAAATTCATGAGGGTACTTTATCTGTTGATTGATAATTTCGAATATTTAAGTTATAATACCATTGATAATTTTAAACTTGAAATTAACCTTTTTAATGTTTTATATTTTTTGTTATTATTTATATTTATATTTATTTTTTGATAAAAAAACTATTAGTATATGATAATGACTTTTACTAATAATAGCTTTTATTTTTTGTTTGTTTTGAAAGTTTTCAACTTCGAAAAAAATATCATACAAATGAATAAATGTAATTAATAATTTAAGTTAAAGTATAATTATTCAAATAATCAAACTTTTTGTAATCTATTTATGTACATTTATCAAGGAATTATGATAAAAAATGATTATTTATATAAATGAAATTCTACTGTTAAAAATTTTGATCTGTTATAATCTTACAAGTGTAATCTACGGAATAAAGCAGTTTTATTTTATTCACTTTCATACTTTTTCTAAAAGTCACAAGTTTTGGTACATATAACTTATATAACAAGTACATATGTCAAGCATTTTAATTACATTTAACAAACTGTATTTGTTTCCAATATCATGTTAGGATAGAAAATTTTTGGAAAAAACGCTATAACTCTTGGATTTACCGTGAGATACAGCGGATACTTTTCGATAATGGTTATATCCTGGTAAGTAATGTAATAATAAAGAATTAAATTTTACAAATCAAAAAGTTATAATAATTTTATTATTATTAATTAAACCAGTTAATTGATTATCTGTGAAATATTTAGATAATAAATCATTGCCGTCAAATTTTATAATAAAATGTTTATTATAATATAATTATATTAAATGAATAAAAAATTAATCTCACCCATTGGATATTTAATTTTATCATAATAATCTGATGCTAATTGAATATCAACTGGCTCTAAGAAAGGCCACGCCCAGTCCTGTTTTTTAACAGCAACAAGAACCTGCTTCAATGCCACTGCCAATTTATCGGGATCGGTATTTTCTTCTTGAATTCGCCCTGTTCTAGGGGTTCTCATAAGTGGCCTCCAACCAGTTTCATTTAAACCAGGTATAGACTCCACAGAAATGCCTTTTACCTAAAATGTCAAAGTACTAAATAAAATGAACATGAAAAAATCCATAATTACTTGAAACATTAAAACTCTTACGCCTTCTATGAAACATGTCAATCCAGGTAAGATTTTTAGAACATCCTTTTGTCTATCAGCAACTAGTTCCTTTACAATCTGAAAAATATGGCAATTATGTCTTAGTACATTTATGTATACACCTACTGATATAAATCATAAACCTGGCAATTATTAATGCTAATTAATAATAAATTATTACCACTATACGCATTTTTATTTACTGCAGCCCAAATTTCAGCAAAGTGTCTAATGTTTTTAGAATACTTTATATATATATATACTATAAGCGCACGTCTTTAATATAAGGGAGATTTTACACGAGAATATATTTTTTTTGAACTATTAAAAATAAGTACAGCCAATAAAAATACAATGTTAAAAGTCCTCATCGGCTTTACCTCCGCGATTATTTTTACTCAAGGTCACAGGATCAAAATTCTTCTTTACCTTATTTTCCTTTAAAACTATATTTAATGTCAGACAAACTTGTTTGAAATATCTGTAAACTATAAAATTCTCTACAGAAAATGCAATTGAGATTTATTCCACATTTTGGATCAAACCGTTCCATACAGAAACAGATATTAGTTTATGTGCTTAATACAATAATGTAATAATGTTCAGCACATTATTCAATATAAATGTACAAACTTGCTGGTAGGTGTTGCTCAAGGAAAAGAAGGTTATTAGAGGCACTATAGCTTGATACTTCAAAGACTCATTAAATTTTTGCTAAACAGAAACCAACTGATAAATATTTATATAAATTACACGTTCGATGACGTATAAAGGGTGTATATTATAAAGTGTATGAATTTTTCAACTTTTCAATATCAATCTCACGAACAATGATTACAATATCTCACGATCGACGGTTCTAACGAAAAAATAATTCTAAAAACATTTTTTTTACAAAACTTTATAGTTTCAGTGGAATATGGAGAAAACCAGAATCTTGTACTTTTAGAACAAGTTTTGGAAGTCGAATCGGTCTTTGACACTTATTTAATGGCTTATTTAATGCCCATATCAATATTCAGCTCTATGCAAATTATTTAAAAATTACTGTACTACAATTCGAAGAACACATTCTTAAAAGAAAAATTATCGAAGAATCATTTTTAACTAGTTTTAACGTTAAAACAATAAATAAACGCAATGAACTAAACATGCTGGGCAGCCTGGGCTACTCAAATCTGTTTTATTGACATAGTATTTACAAACTTTTCACAAAACAATAAAAATGTGCCAAAGGATTTGCAATTAGTTCTATACATGTGTAGAATCTTAGTAAAAATATTCACAAAAATAACACAAAACTATTTGTGTATGGCATCGAACCTTAAGGCAAGTTGCTGGAACTTCCCGTACCGTAACAAAATATGTTCGAGAAATATTAAATGTTTTCATATAGATTATTATAAATACTTAACATTGTCTAATATTTATAAGAGTTATATAAACTGAATTGCAAAGTTAAAATTATTCATTTAAAGAGTATAAGTGAGCTTTAGAACTTTAGCCAGAATTAGAATTAAAATCGAAATTATTTCCGATATACAACAAAAAAATTGTTTTTTTTCCAAAAGCAATTACTTTTTAAAACAAGCAGGAAGTTTTTTTAATCATTCAAATCAGATGCTTAGTCCTCTCAAAAACTGCTATTTTTAGCTCGGTATTACCGAAACTGCTGGACCTGCCTTTGCTAAAATCTAATCACCACTTCTCCCCGTCATTACGAATTGAATGTTTTTAGATCATTCAAATCGGATGCTCGTTCTCTTGATTTCTATTTTATGCACTCTTTGCCCCGTATCTCTGAAACGGCAAAAACTAATCAGCACATCTCCCTATGAATAGAATCGAATGTTTTTTGAACCATTCAAATTGGTTGATCCGTGCGCCTGAAAACGTGGACAAAATTTGTATCCATACATACATACACACACACTAACATATCTATTATTTTGAAGTATGCCAAAATGTTCAAAAACTTTCAAAACCTGAAGAAATGTAAAATTTTTTAATTTCGATTTCCGATCGATGACAACAACCCATATATTACACACTATCTATTTGTGATTTTTTTATTTAATTACAAGTATAATATTTATATTACATAGTGTAGTGCATTACCATATCCTGCTACCATAGATAATTGAATTTTCTGTTTTAACACTAATAATAAGATTAACTAATTATAAGAACTTTACACACTTTATAATTTTTCCCAATTCAATCATTTTAGTTTTGAAATTTTATTTTTAGTTTCCACTGAATGACGCCGGAACGTATGGTAGTCACATAAATTTTTAAAAGAAATTTATGTTTTTTATTGATATCATGCCCGATATTAGACAATATATATATATATATATATATATATATATATATATATATATTTTTTCTGTAACTATGTATGAATGGTTAATCCTCCTAAACTATAATTCGGATTTTCATGAATCTTCCTGAAGTTTGTTCGGGAAATTTTCTATAATTTTTAGATTCATAAAAATATAGTTAGATTGCAGAAATAAATGGAAAAAATTACAAAAAACCGCTTATAATTGTTTGCCCTTGAAAATATTTAAGGCATGGTTTGACATTAAAACAAATGAAAACAAAGACAATATTAAAATATAACATATTTATGATTATGAATAAGAAAAATGTAATGACTACATTATTATTGCCAAAAAGCAGCTGAGACGTGCCAAAAAATTAAAATAATATAAGATTTACAGTCAACATCTGATAGGTGATGCAGCCTGCGCATGCGTCTGTCAGTGACCGCACATCAAACTTAACCTATAATTCACTTTGACTGATTATTATTTTTTAACTTTTAAATGCAGTCGTGTTTTGCCTTATTTTACTAAATCACGATACAAAAATAATTTACTTATTCATACAATTATTTAGAAGTTTCATTGTGTCAAAAATTCATATGTTTGGCATTGGATACGAAATAATTATTCAAGACAATTGAGCATTTTGAGTCTGAATATATTTAATGTGCTCCAATTTGCATGAACTTTTGGAATTATGTTCATCTTACTCTCAAGTTTAAAAGTAAAAATAATTTAGAATCATTTGCCACTTCCCGGGGGGATGACATCCCTTTTCAGTGGTGCAATTGTATGTCTTTCAAATTAACGTCGGATATCGATAAAAGAAGTAATTACAATATTTTTTTCATTTGAAGCAAATAGTTTTTGAGTGCCATTTCCACCAAAATTAAAAATAATCGTATTCCCTCTAGAATCAACTTGGTTTAAGAGATCTTGACGGATTCTAGAAAATACCATAACTTTAGTGCAAACGATTTCCAAAAAACTCATGATTTCATAAAAAAAAACTATTTAAAAAAATAAAAGATACGTTTAAAGATATATAAATGAAAATTCAAGGTCTTTTACTGACCAATTATTGCTTTTTATTATTTTTCTGTTACACAAATATTGATAATGTCCAACCAGAGTGTCATTCGATCCTTCAATCCGTTGCCATTTCAAAATAAGAGAAGTTACGGTAAAATTTATGATAGAGAAAGTTGTAGCTCATTTAATTACCTTTAAAATAGTGTATTGCAAGTACTGATAAAATCAGAATTAAAAGAGTTATAATTCAATTAATTCGGTGGGTGGTGACGAAGTGCAAATTTTTTTCACTTCTGAACTTAAGATAAAGATTAGCCTATTTCCGACACACGCTTTTTTCCTCTCCATTTACTGCAATAATTTTGTTGATCGTAAGTTGAATAAAGCACATGTGAATAGTGTTAGAAGTATCGAGGCAAAGTATCGATACCGAGTACTGAAAAAAGAATCGAGGCAAAATATCGATACCAAAAAAGTGTCGTGGCAAAAGTATCGAATATTGAGTACTTTTCATCAAAATCAAACATACGTGCAAGAAAAACCTCTACAGATCGAATTACAATATTATGATAAATTCTATCGCCTGTATTTATTGCTGTTAAATTAGCATCATTTTAAATATTTTGAGAAGTTTAAAACAATAATTTTTTGATACTAATTTCAAATTCGATTCACATAAAAAGAAAATTACTCAATAATTATAAAATAGTATCGTTTTGTGACGAAAGTATTCATTTATGAATTTAGTATCGGCAAATTTACATCAAAAAGAAATATACTCATTAATTATGAAATAGTATCGTTTTGTGACGAAAGTATTCATTTATGAATTTAGTGTCGGAAAATTTACATCAAAAAGAAAAATACTCATAAAATGAAAAATAGCATAGATTTATGACGAAAGTATTCATTTATGAATTTAGTATCGGCTAATTTACATCAAAAAGAAAAATACTCATTAATTATAAAATAGTATAGTTTTATAGCGAAAGTATTCATTTATGAATTTAGTATCGGCAAATTTACATCAAAAAGAAATATACTCATTAAATATGAAATAGTATCGTTTTGTGACGAAAGTATTCATTTATGAATTTAGTATCGGCAAATTTACATCAAAAGAAATATACTCATTAATTATGAAATAGTATAGTTTTGTGACGAAAGTATTCATTTATGAATTTAGTGTCGGAAAATTTACATCAAAAAGAAAAATACTCATAAAATGAAAAATAGCATAGTTTTGTGACGAAAGAATTCATTTATGAATTTAGTATCGGCTAATTTATATCAAAAAGAAGAATACTCATTAATTATAAAACAGTATAGTTTTGTGGCGAAAGTATTCATTTATGAATATAGTATCGGCAAATTTACATCAAAGAGAAATATACTCATTAAATATGAAATAGCATCGTTTTGTGACGATAGTATTCATTTATGAATTTAGTATCGGCTAATTTACATCAAAAAGAAAAATATTCATTAATTATAAAATAGTATAGTTTTACGACAAAAGTATTCATTTATGAATTTAGTGTCGGCAAATTTACATCAAAAAGAAAAATACTCATAAAATGAAAAATAGCATAGTTTTGTGGCGAAAGTATTCATTTATGAATTTAGTATCGGCTAATTTACATCAAAAAGAAAAATACTCATTAATTATAAAATAGTATAGTTTTGTGACGAAAATGGCTTTAGAAATGAGAAACAGAAATATAATACTTTTAATAGAAATACTTAGCAATTATAAAGTAGTATTTATTTTAGAAAAACAAGTATCGGCTTTAAAAATCAGAATCGGAAATCGAATGTCTTAATAAATTAT